TGGAACCTCTTTATTGCATCCAACAACGACTGTTAGCGTCAAGGCTTCTTCCATCGCATTACTCGACAACGGAACACATCACTTTGCTAAAAATATAACTGCTGTATTGCTGTGCCACATCACCGCGAAAGGTAGCACGCCGGGCCAATAAATAGCGGCGGTACACGAAGTTCACTTGGGTAATTCAGGCAAATAGGGAAACCATCCAAACGCTGTTTTTTCATTTACCGATGTCCTTGCAGCTTGTTGTGAATAATTTACAACGGGATCCGCGCACGCTAACTGTGACATGTACAACTATTATAGGCAGCCATTTTTTGCATGCAGTGACATACATTGCTGCCGACCGTCAAGCTACGCGAATACATGTTGTCATCAGAAAGCAGCAAGATCCTGAAGCCTTATTGCACGATGACATTGGATCCACAACGCATGGTTATAATGCATTTACAGTGCTTGCAACAGCACAATACGACGGTAGCGCTTATAGTGAAGCGCAAGTGTCTGTTATGTCCAGAGTGAATTTAAACAGCATCTTCTTAATTTGGTGCCAAACCACATGCTCAGCAGCGTGCTACCCATGTTATCGATTGACGGAGGCCATGGTTGGATCTCCTGCCATTTTAGTCTTCTTTGAATGGCATGGTTATGAACACTTTTTTCTTAAGGACATCGGGCACTCGTTGGTTTCCGGTTTTCGCGTTTATGTTTGAGTTCTTTGCTAGGAACTTCTGCGGACCTCCATTTTCGCGTACTGTAGAGCAGATACGTTGCAACTTCCATGTAATAGCTTCCTGTGAGCATAGCTGGCCAGCGATCGCAAAGGTGGTACGAACCGGAGCTCGTTTGTAATTCACAGGCCACTAAATGTCAAACCTAGAGTAGTTTACCATTTAGGTTTCTTTTAAGCGAATATCCAAAATTGGAAGGCAGTGTAAACTTTGTTCTCAACTGTAAATTCGATTTCGGGGTAAAATTTGCTTAGAACCAACAGTAGTTGTTCCGCTTGTTCGGCAGTGTGTACAACGACGAAAGTCTCATTCATGTAGCGGCTATATATATGCACGTGGTGTATAGTACAGCCTGATGATCTCTGTATGCAATCTATCCAATCCGCAAAGTATATGTAAACGGCTGACGAAAACACGCGGAATAGCTGAAATCCGATTATCCTGTCGAAATGTTGTTGTTTTTTGATCTTTCGACACTGGAACTTGTACGTCTTGTAGTTCAGTCTACCGTGTTCGAAATATTGACAGTCTTAGTCGAGACTGGCAATCACTCACTGCGCTTTCAACGGACCGATGAGGTTGGCAACAGGAAAGGTAGACACTGAATGACAAACAGGATGCATTCTGTAATATCGAAGGTGCGCAAAGTGAAACAAGCGTGATCTCGGAACGATTTAACAGGGAAAAAAATGCATGGCAGGCAGCGCTACAGAATAGCCAAAAACAGAACCTCAGATAACCGAAACTTCATTGATATAGTATTAAAAGGGGCAAATCAACATTCCATGATTTTTAAACTAAATACGAATACCGGGATTAATCTAAGAATATTGTACCATGCATCTTATTTTGTGAAAATTATAAATTCTTTGCACATGGTTGTGGTTGCAGTTACGATTGCACAATCACGGCTGACGTTGTATGCGCAGTCTCCGAAATTGTGGCAGAACCACCGTCCTGGATCTGTGTCTGCCAATTTCGTGGAAGGGTGCAATCATTTTGCTCGGTTCAAAACTACTTCTGTCAGCCTCCGCCTAGTACACTATGCTTCCTAACTTAACCCGGATCGCATAGTAGGATAACCGTGGGTGACACTAGTTGTGGACAAAATCTGTTTCACTGTCCTCGGAGGACAACATAAGCAGGAAGCCACGGACTAGAATGACAAATGGAACGGTCCAAAACTTGAAGGCTGCAACCATGTAAACCGGGCATGGCTGTATACCCCAAGTACGCCGTCATGGTGCATGACGGTCTGTTATTGTGCCGGAGGCTTGCGAACCAAACACAGCGTCATCGCGCAGCTGCAGCGAGTACCTGAAAGGCTTGTCTGGTATTCAGGACAGATGCTTACAGCGTCTGAACTGCGGCACATGATTGGATCGTTAGCGGATTACCAGTGCAACATGTGACTTTCTGAATGCGTGTTCATCCCCAATACGTGCAACTGACTCAGGAGAATATGCCGTGCAACTGCCGTGTGTGTGTGAATTCAGTGCCTATTTGATTTATAGTTCCTGTACTCTTGTTGCATTTGAATTCCTCAGTTCTTTGTCTTCTACCACTTACGGAAGCTCGTTAGCTACGATAGTGCGATACACTACGATTACTGCATAAACTTAATATTAGGGTTAGGTAGCCGGTGGGTGATCAAAACGTTATGCCCTTGAACATCATGTCAACTAACGCAATGAGTAAGGCCTAGTGTTTCCTTACCTCCAACTGGCCATATCGCACAAATGACTGGAAAATATTCGCATCCCCGCTGAGATAGCATTTGGATACAATGTGATACACATGTGGCACGGCAATAGCAGCGGATACTTTCCGTGAGGATACAAATGCCTGTCTACGCAACATTTGCCGTGTAACTCGACAACCAAGCCACAGGCATGAAAAATAACAGCATTACTCCTGCTAGCACATGATAGAAAATCAACAGGTTTGTCAATGCCCCCAGAGCACTCCTGATTTGACAGCGCTGTATCAACTTCACAAGCAAGATGGCGTATTGCGTGCATGCCCAGTGGAACATCACATTTCTAGCGAACACCAAACGTTCTCAGGTGCGCACAACCCATGTTAGCTTCTGCAGTAACCTATATTGATGATTAAGTCAAAGAACAAACAATTAGCGCAGCGCTGCGGAATGTCGGCATTGCATCTATTGGTCTGTCATACTCCCTTCACAATTGGAAATTCCGTGCATGTCTCTTCTATGTTTATATGGTACTTACCTTCATCTCCAATTGGTGCCATGCACGCAACATCTAGTTCTTTGAAAACGTGGTCACCTACGGATCTTCCGTGGGCACGTGGACCACTTGAGTACACGCCATTTACAACGGCTTTCCCACTTAACGCCGCAACCGTGTACCGATAGTCCAATGCGGCAGGTAACTGCCAATCCCCTGTCTCCTGCCACGGTATCTTGTGAGCGGTGTCAGCTGATCACCTTGTATCGCCTCTGGGCCGCTGTACAAATAATACGTACCCAGTCTTCACATAAATAAGATCAGAGCTACGGTTGAACTATTTAACGTCCTTAATCGTCCCATCCTTAGTATCGTATCATAACCTGAGATAATATGAGAAAAGCACACAGAATATGGATAGAAAACCTTCAACGGTCATTTACTAAGCATGTATTGGGGGAAATTTCTATCATAAACTCTCGAGAGCGATGCCAGCAACTCCATCTCGATCCGCATTGGCTACGAAGACTAAAAGAGAAATGGAGACTGCTGCACATTCTGATTCAGGGCAATACCCATTGCAAGCGATTCATCCTTAACATTGCAGCACAATTACACGCGAGACCTAGGTAACAAAGACCTTACCCTGATTATACCACGATGCAAGATAAATCCGCGGCCTAACTTTCGTCTCACCATATATGCTTCTCTGTGGAATCGGTTGCCATTCACCATCAGGTCATTTGAAACTGTGCAATCCTTTCGCAGTAAGTTGAGAAGCTATCTCTACCTGGACACAATTATGTCGTTTTTTCGTGGGGAAGATCATTTGATCATCCATTCAATGAAAGCCCAGCTAACGTCTAATGGGTGTAATATCAACAATTTATGCAATGTAATTAGTCCTCCAGGTCTACAACATACTCAAACTTCAACTTTGCCTCCTACCGTCGCATAAAACAAACATATGGGGCAAATATCTTGCCAGAAATGCAGACAAATACAAGAAGATGACTTGATAGTGCTTTTGCAAGAGCAAGACATCACCTGTGCGTGTATGTTCCGTGCCAAATATTGTCACAGCTTTTCACTTGATGAGAAATATGCCCAATAGTATTATTATTATTATTATTATTTTCATGCGGTATATTGTTTCGACCAGAGGCAATACTAACTTGGAGACTAATTGTACCACTGGAACTGTGCACCTTGGACGGATCACATATTGTGCGTTCGATACGTTACGTACTGCTCGGACAAGCGCTGGAAATTTTGCACGGGGACACCGGCTACCGGCCGGGTCAGAATACGAACCAATGGTAACTCTTTCCGACAAAAGATCTGTTAAAGGGGTACTGATGGAGAACGTTCAAACTCCTCATCCTAGGTTGACCAGCTACTATCAGGCGTACTGTTGGTGACCTCTAGCATTGACACTGTCATCGCTGTCTGCCTTCCGTTAACACCAATGTGTCAGCCTACTCGGGAGCAGACCTGCCCCCCCCCCCATAGGCGCATACATTTACCAATGTGCTCACGTTCAGGGAGTCCCATTAGCTTAGTTCCCATGACCAATGAGAGTTTCCCTGATAGTGCGGGCATGTAACCCCTCAGGGAGAGTATGAATTGATGCCCACGTGAACTTGAATGGACGACACATTATTTTGATACTTTAACAAGCTAGCTTATCAGCTTTAAGCGTGAATTTGCCCGTAAAATGGCATATTTACCTTACGAAGCCCTCTTTGGATCCAAGTTTATGCTCGTTGCGGTTGTGTTTACTACAGCTGATGACTCTATGGATTTGCATCTATTGGTAGTCTCCTGTGATCGCATTTTAATATTTCAAGATTTTGTGATCAAAAACTGGTAGGCTGCATATGCACCGCGGTCATTTGTTGGCCACTTTAATGATGAACTGCTTCCGGTTTACCGTAGCGTTTTACGCTCACTTCATGTGCATGCTTAATTTCCTTCGTCTAATCCGCTTGCTGTTGATACTTTGCTGCGTTTATGTCCCTTTTGTGAATGATTGGTCGATTCCTACAATTTGATTCTTTGTTTTCGGCGACAGTATTCAAGCTATTGCTGCCTTTCCAACGGGGAACGACTGGATAAATCTGATGGAATACGGACTAATGGGAAGACAAAATGTCGACGTAGATGATGTGGAATCCAATCTGACAGTTGTCGACTACACACTCTCGGTTCCTCCTGTCAACACCTCAAATCTGCATTCGGGTCTACGTCCTTTGGATAACAGCCATTCTGCTCTGCTTGTGGCTCCAAAACTTGGGTCTCCAAAACTAAACCCATCACGTGGGGACACTTCAAGCCTTACACCGCTCACGAAAAGAGGCTCGTTTTTTGATTTGGCCGCATCTTGGGCCACTCGACCCACATGGAAATCGCAAGATCAGCTGCACTCCTCTCTTGGGATAGATCCTACACATTCACAGAAAGGTAATCTTTTGATTTCTTCGCGTTTTTATTTTCACATTCACAGCAGCTTAGATCCGACAGGTCAGTTTATCATAGTCATCAGTAGTACACCGGCACACTGTATCCACTCTACGCTGCCACGCGACCACCACCGGTCGCGCATTGGTGGAGTATACTGCGAGGAAGCCTTGCCGATACGCGGATTCGACTCGGTGACTTAAGGATTCCAAGCCAGGCGTGTGATGCTTTCGACCACCGGCCGACACGTATGATGAGCATTTCAATAACCAGGTCATAACTTTGTCCACAATGACACCTTCCATGATGTTGCTTGAATTCAGTATTACTTTTTAGAGCTTGAGCGAATCTTAGGCCACATTGATCAACGTTTCACTTTGATTCAGCACCCTCCTTTTTACAAGCTACAACATTCCATTCGCCCGATGGAATGATGCACTGGACATACGCCGATGTCGATAACCCCCAGGGCTGTGAGTACCGCTACTGTAGACAACTGTACTCGATTAAGCGTTCGCTTCTTCATCATGTTATCCCAGTTTCACCATACGGTTAAATATTGTTTTATCTTACCATTTTCCTGTCAAATGATTCCCTAATTAGATCGAGTTAACCCATAGTGAAATCAAACTAGCTTGTAACGTACCTTAATCTGTCCGTCGCGTACGCCCAATGACCCCTTGTGATTACGATTAGCAACATTGTTTAAGATGTCGATTTTTTTTGCTTTTGAGATCCCCAATGTGAATAGTAAACCTTAGTACTTTGTCCGATCTAGATGGTGTGGTGACTCACTGATTCCAGGTCGATAGGATATCTGTGTGCAGCGATGATGATGGTTGTGGAGCTTAGCTGACTTCTGGTCATTTGTCGTAGGTATCTGTTGTCTTTTGCCTGGCAACACTCCTGCAAAATCGAGAACCGACATGACGCTAACAATCTCCCAGGGGACATCTAGTGGTATGATCTACATCTATTTCAGTAAAGCGTTCGGCCAGGCGTGCTATGGGGCCCAACTCTACATGCTCAGATTATGCATCATCCTCATCATCAACAGCAGTACTTCAGCCATTTGAACCGATGCTTCGCCACCGTGCAATTACAGTGACCTACAGAACGAAGAGTAAGGACAGGTAGAGTGACCTTGCACAAACCCTTAGTGCCCTAAGCAAACACTCAGGGTCAAGGCACCTACACCTTGTCGACAACAGTCACAAACAACTGCCTATCTTGCAAGGATAAGGCGGCATCAGGGAAGCAGGTTCCGTACGGCTCTCACTGTCCCACGTCATAATCAACCATCACCCCGCAGATAACAGCACCGAACACACTTTAAACAGGCACTCCGACTAGCATACAGCAATTGACATGCCCCTGGTGTCGACTGCGATCGATATCCTGTAACGTCTCGAGCCAAGCACAAGGCAAGTCACGTGGACTCTTGCTTGGAAGGCGAGACGGACCGTCGGCACCCAGTTTGGTCGTCATTGTCTTTATTTCCCGCTGCCTAGTTGACTTTTGCCCACCTTGAGTTCTGCGCCACCTTATATCTGGCAGAATAACCAAGGCCCTCCTCAGTTACCAGGTATACGTAGTACGTGCCAAGGCCAACGCAACTTATTCAGTGCTATCACTTGTTCTAAGCAACTAGCCAGATCACTACTGCCTACCACTAGTCTACACACGTCATCGTTGCGAACACACTGGTTCTATTCGACACCAACAGGGCTTGGCGGGCTGCGATGATCAAAGACTTGAGGGAGCATCAGATCCTCAAATCGAAGTGGCCAAGTTTCACTACCGTTGAGTAGGACGGCCCTCACTGTGATCTCGTATCCACGGTCTTTCAGACCGAGGAAAACCCCCTTCTGACGCCACATATGTCGCAGATTCAAAAGGGCAGTTCTAGCTTTCGGAATTTGTGAGCTGACTTCAGTCGTTATGTGCCCATCGTTGTTGATGCAGCTTCTAAGGTAAATGAAGTGGTCAACTGCTTCGACTTCACGCTATCAGGAGTCAAGGGCTCATCAAATGACTGGTGGTCTTGCAACAACACCTTGCACTTTGAAGTGCCAAGCACATGTCAAAGAATGGAACCAGTCTGGAGAGTCTATTCTGGGTTGGCTTGGCCACGACCAACGTCGCTAGGAATTAATGCAATATCGTCCGCCTTATCAAGACCCACTAACCATTCACCACGTAGCACCTTAACACCTGCGTCGTAAGCTTCCACAAAGGCACACTCCATGATGGAGTCCACGACAAAGTTAAGCCAAGTGGGAAAATTGTGCAACGGACGAACGCCAGTTGTCTGGAAAATATATGCTAAGTCACCGCAGACTTTGACACTGCCTGTGGTATTCGACTACAGGGCACGTAAACTGGCAGTATACTTCATGTGAACACCTTTCCGTGGAAGTATTTCGTATAGAATTGATCGACCAACAGAGTCGAATGCACCGTCGAAGCCAAGGAACACAGCTATTATCGGTCTAAGGGACATGTGTCGCTGCCCTAGCACCTGCCGTCCTGGACTGAAACCTGCAAGCTTCTCTCTGATCCGTGATTCTCGCTCCGCAGTGTAGCGACGAACGAGCTTCGAGGCCAGTTCTTTTTGTCACCACTGGCGTTAGGCTCATATCTCTGTGGCTGTGGCTGTCCTTCTTGTATATTGCCACTGTAATCGCTTCACTGCAGTTAATTTTCTTAGTCTTATCACTGCAGAGCTATTCGAACGGGAAGTCAATGCTTTGCAGAGGACCTCATCACCGTGTGGGTGCGAGGGAATCCATGCCAACAGCATGAAAACCATTGAGGGCTGTGATCGCGTTTCGGACCTCTGGCTCTAGTGGAGACTAAACTAACTGTTCATGGCTCATCCTGCACCATCTGCGTAAAAAGAGGTCAAGGAGCAGAGGGACGAACTGAACTGATCTCGGAAATCCTCTACCCAACGAGCTAGACGACGCTGCGTATTGTGAATCGTGGCACGCTCGCTGTCTCTTATTGTCTCACTGAATCTTGGTTTCCTTTGACTGGTGGTGCAGAACAGTTAGAAGAGATTACCGTCGCCTCTTCCATTTCTTGAGCCCTGTTGGTCCACCAGTGTTCCTTGTCAACACGCAGACTCCGTCTTAGTTCGCGTCCCTCTTATCACATTATGCTTAGAGTTAGTCGGAAGTTTCTTTCTGCATTCTTACAGATTCACCGAGATCACGGATATCCAGTAACTGGTGCGGTGACGATTGATAGTGCCAAAATAAGATGCTTCTCCATCGTGCGTGACGCCCGAGATCCGACTTCACTGAAGCTCAACGTCATTAAGACAAAAGAGCGAATGTTCGGTACGCAGTGCACCCGGGTAATCTTGTCTGTTCGATGGTTGCGTGCAATAACTCCTCAGTTGCCAGTGGAGGGATGTGCTTGACGCACTTCCCGTTGCCGTTCATGGAAAAGCGACTACCTACCGTTGCATGATCAGAGTCGACGCAGAACGAGCGACAATCCAGGATGGAACCCCGCCAACTGTAATTTATGGTAACATGATCCACTTGGGTCCATCATTTGTCAGCTATAGCAGGATGCCAAATGGCGCATCGGGGCCCACTGTGTCTAAAAGTGTTGCTATTAAACTACAGCTGGTGCTGCGCATACAGTTGCAATAGACTCGCCATTGTCCATATGGTCGGAGTTAAGTCCATACTTACCACATAGCTGCGCTGCTGCAGAGCCCATAGGACCTACTTGCGCATTTATATCCCCTGCAACAACGACGATTTCTGAACTGGTACACCTACGAATCGGCGTGTTCTCTTCATGCGAGAATGTGTCCTTTGCAGCACGAGATATAAGTGGAAAAGACACAAACAGCGTCTAGTACTACCTCGTGATTCGACCTTGCTTGATGTCAAATGGGCTGCGCAATCATGACTAATGCTATGCGCTGTTTGTGACTCACTGTACTAGACTATCCGCGAGTATTTTTGCTTTCCGTCAATCGAGGTTACTTGTCTCTGGCCATCTGACTTGCTGGTATTCTTTGACCATTGGTTTAAATCAAGACACCTCAGGGGTCTACTCTGTTCCTGAGTTGCATCGGCGACTTACTACAGCTTCTCTGGTCAGTGTGCGCGCTGTTCGCAGACAATCTGAAGAGATGGAGAGTAATTTGTAATCATGACGACTGCAGCGTACTTCTGCATGACCTCAGTCATCTTCTATGTGATCTGCAAGGTCAGTGTACTTGTCTGGCCGATCAAGTCATTAGTTCTAGTCTGGGGTAGTGTTGTGGTGACGAATATCCACTCTGGCCTTCAAGTCGCTCCATCCCGTACCTTGCGTGAAAGGTCTAGGCATATGCTCACACTGCGACTTTACGTCCGTGCACAACAAGAAATGACTATGCCGAAGCGGACTGCGCTTACTTTGGGCACTTAAGCACGACTTCCACACTTGGTTTGATCAGGTTGCCACTCGCCCCTTCTGCTACATTATAATACTACTGCTCCCGCACGTTCACTCTAGGCGTGGAATAGAAGATCAGAGTAGTCCAACTTGTTCCTACCCTGCTCATCCCCAGGTTACCTGGTAGGCCGTACGAAGACCGATACGAAATACCAGAATTGTACATCCGGTCCTGTCGTCCGGTGTTGGTCGATCTCATTATCAGTAGGTGTATTTTTCATCACGGTGGCTTCCCTCTACTGAGTGTACTGTTCCACTAAAAAGTACCATTCACCACATGCTAAAAGCGGTCGGCCATTCACCTTTTTTCGAGCGTCAAGCGCTGATCTACTGGAAAATTTGTCAGGGAACTTGGTGGAAGCAGAGTCGTCGTAGTTCAATAAGTTCCATACCGTCCAATTTGCGGATTTTTGATTTAGAGAACGTTTCTCATCCTCATAACACAGTATGTGTAATATTTTGAGGAGGATGAAGAATTATCACCATTGTTTTGCTGATTACTGTACCGAATTTCGACGGAGCTACACAAATTTGTCTTTCCTTACCGCGTATTTGTTTAGTACGCAACTGATTTGGATATCCATGTCCCCACAGGAATGATGATGTCCTCGCTCTTAGTCATTTAGTTGGAACAGACGCCGTTGTTCGATTTTATACTGCGTAGATGTGCGCGAATACGCGCATTCCCACCTTGGGGAATGCCTTCTTTGTGGATGTAGCTGCGAATAAGTCTCGTTTGCTTTGCCAGCGTGACTGACTATAGGGTCACTGATCACTCACTTCTATAACCAAAAGTGAGTATCTACCGGAGGGCAGGTGACAAATCTTGCTGTCGACTGGTTTCGGTGTGGACTGCCACCGAGCACAAAGAAAGCAAATGAACCACTTGGCTATCAACGGCCTTCGTGTACAACAACTTCTGTGATTCGCCCCACTGCCTTACGTGTCAGGTTTTTCGTGACCAAAGGCTCGGGGCGGGGTCCCTAAAGTCAACACTCTTCATCGGCCTGGGCAACCGGGAAGCCTTCTGCTCACAAAAGACATAAACCTACCTAACCCTTCCTCTGACTGCCTGTTTTCCCCTTTTCCCCCTTTTATTTTTGCTGTCCATACAATGTGCACTCTGCCTATTGTATATTTGTCAAGTGTTATATATATATATATATATATATATATATATATATATATATATATATATATATATATATATATATATATAGGCTAAATCAACATACCCTTAAACGAACTTTTTAGGCTAGATAAATTTCATCACTATTTAGTTTGTTCTGCCTACCCGAATAATCTTCTATTGACTTGCACACGTTGCTTGCGCTAATTGTGGTTATCTTCATTAACTTTATCGCTCTTGTAGCACTTCTGAGTTACTTATGGACAATTTGTACTTATCGCGAATGCGTTGTTAACCAACTTACTTCATATACTTCTTTAGCGAAGTTATGTCGCCATAACCGTCTACTTTAACAGATGTATTTTATTCTATAATGTTATTTAAAGTGATTGGTTGTTGTTTGACATCTCCGCTGTGGCTGCGTTAGATGTGCTTGTTGTCAAGGTGCCTACCTGTTTATTACCCACTGCTTCATCCGTATTGGCTCCAGGCGACAATTCCTCGTTGCTGGAGGGTCCGGCTGCACTGTCCTTGTGGCCGTGTTAGGATCAAAGAGCGGTTCCATGCACTCAGTGTGGAGCGGACTACGGTCCAACCACCGTCTTGTGTGCGATTGTTTCCAAAACACAGCGTGCTTTTGTTTGCCTGTGAAGCGTTGTGGGCCCGCTCCGTTGATGAAACCTGGCTCCCATCCTCATGCCTCCCGGTCTTATTCCTTCGGGTTTATACCGGATATGGGGTGTGTGTATGGAACTGTGGGCGGTGCAACGCAAGCCACCCATAGTCCTTCTGTAGGCCTCGGCGTCCTGTGGCTGTGTCCGTGGCGGCCACAGTGACAGGCAAATCCGGACATGGATGCCGCCAATTTATATATATATATATATATATATATATATATATATATATATATATATGAATTGGCGAAGAAGCATAGAGTCATCTAAATCCATGGAAATCAACAGAATGTTATTGATCTGAGTCACAAAATTACACTTGATGCTGTTTTCCCGCGCACTATTTTTCTTTTTTCTTTCACTTCTAATTGTTGTGCATCAATCGCCTCAATCTAAGCACTTACGAATGAAAATGTCCTGAGTTCGGTTGCGCGTCATGTATCGAGGCGTTTTGGTTGGGTCCGCAATCAGGCAGATGTGGATCCAGTGGCGGCTAGACGTGAAGCCTGCGATTTTTTGTGCTATCACTAAGTGGACGGTCGAGGACGCAGTCTCTTCAAGTTATCCTACATGACCAATTTGGGCATGCTGGGGTTAACACTCAGATATTCTGTGTAGATTCGTCGGTTGGACTCAGGCAGCCTGCATGCCACCTCGGTTGGTGGCATATTGCAAACGAAGTCGCAGCTCTGCATGCCAACCTTGTCCTTTGCACGTTCAAAACATGCATGACAGTGGAGGATGAGCCCGTTATTTCGCAGTTAAATATCAGTCACGGCGGCCCACTGCCGTTGCCCATGGCTCAGTGGCATAAGTCGCTAACTCCCAAGAGTAAGATCGTAGGTTCGAATCCGGTAGGATTCGGCGGGGGCTCACTACTGACGAGTACCAGTAGGACGAAACGGCCGTCTAGCGCTTTCCTCGATGTGTGGTGGCTGTGTGCCTGAGTCTAACTGCGACGAATCTTCATAAAATGCCTAATCAGTCCCCCTACTACTTACAAACTCAGATATTCTACGCAGAACGTAACCGAGCGACCTCTATTGGCCCACCAGAATGTGCGTGTTGAAAAAGATACTCGCATTCTAACACCATACACAGCAATCTTCCTCAAGCCTTCCTTGTCTAAGGACGATAGCCGGCGCCTGTCATGCACACGTACTGGCGACGACGCTTCCATGCGACAACACTGTTCGAATGGCGGCATTGTTAACCCCGTTGACCTTGGGGTGGGTCTCGGCATTTTATTAAACACACCTGATTATTAATCCATTGTCCAACCAATGCTTGTGGTTACGCAGATCCCCTGTAGGCTCTAGGTCTTGTGCTGTCCTACTTTGTTTCACTCAATTGAGCAACACTTGTGATAGTTCTGCCTCAACGCGGATTGATCAACTTGAAACTCTAAAGCACTTATCTGGGCAATTGTTCGCTTTTGGATCAGCCGCTTCGTGATGCGATACCATTCGTATTACTACGCGTAACATCTGTTTTCTCTCACTATACTTAAAAGCATATCCTAACTCCTGCTATCTCCCCAGCTTCCTTGAACACGAAAGACCATTTGGTCACTTATCGTCTGCCCTCTGTCTCACCGCTTTGCAAGTCATCCAGTCGCAATTTAGCCGATACAGAGAATGCATCACGTCTCTCGATGAATCGGATAGCGTCCACAACTAATCTACAAGACATTAGTCTATCAAGTATAGACTCGGCTTACCTCTTGGATAAGACCCAAGAACGTAACTTTTTGAGCCCTTCTTCAGCAATGATTCAACCGGAACCTACCACGTCATTCGTCCCGAAGCATTCCGATGGATTCTATACATCTACAAGCACTCTTCACCCAGGCATGAATACTCTTAACTTGTCAGCCACTGTGAGTTCCGGCATTTTCGTACCCATTTATGACCAACCTTTTATCCATTCAGACTGACATCGTCCACAACACTAGCTCATCACGTTCTTTCGCTGTTTACCATTTCCTCCGGTAATTGCAACACTGTCTGTCATTGGGCCAAAATCAAATGCATTAATTCATATGACACTGATCTTTGGCTCGAATCCAGCAGCACTCAAGTAGAATACATGCGGTTAATAAATCCCACCCAACAATCTCTTTACGAATTTATAGTAATTGTCTGACTTGACTCATCTGTGCGAACGTTGTTTAGCATAGTTATAGTATTAATAAGTATATTTTTCAAATACCCGAGAGGCTGTCCCTGGAATAGGGACAGGTCAATAGTACAGCAATGATCATACTCCTGCATGAGTGAGATGTGTATTCTAGAGGGTCTGTGTCATCAGAAGATTGTGAAATATATGGTTTTTTGGTGCTGAGTTCTGCGATATCGCTTTTCATCCTGAAAATATTCATTTAACCATTTTTTGACGAAAACGTGGTCATTATCGAGTTCTAGTACAGGAATTTTCCAACTTTAATGCGGAATGCGCTTGCATTTGTACAAGACCTGATAGTGGTTGGTAGGCTATTTTACAGGGCAATGTATCTGACGAGGAGGAAGTTAGGTCAACTAACACTCCTGATTCTAGGCAATTTTAACTTGCAAATTTTGTTGCGAAACCCCCTGATGAAGTGATGTTACAATTCTAATGCGCACAGCTTGGTATATGTCTTTTGGTTTATAAGATTGTGCATAAGCATCAAGTTATGTTTCAGTCGTTGCAACCGAAGAGACTCGAGATTGAGCTACTAACAGCGATCTTGATAGATCAAGGTGGACGATTTACTACACAAACATTTATTGACTGAACTTTTCATATTTTTCAAAGCCCTTCTTTCACCCATACACTTGTTCCCATAAATGATCCTGTAGTATTCAAGGACAGGGAGTGTTAGGATTTTTGCTAAGTTCGCTTTTGGCAGACTGTATGAGTTTTATGGCATATGTTAGCCATAAATAGTTTGGCCTACACTATTTGGTACTCCGTCTTTTTTGAGAAATTAAAGTTTGTAGAGCATCTTATACTTAGATGACAGTTAGACAGATGTGTTCATTATTCAGTTTAACTGATTCTTCAGGGATCGAACATCCGTGGGACATGACGCATGAGAACTTTACAAACCATGTATCATACCATTTCTCAAGTGAATCTATATCTTCTTGGATCAGCAACATTGTGCTCTGGAGTTTGTCTCGTCAAAATTTACAAGCAATCTTAATGTCGTCGGCGAACGAAAATGGTCTGCCATCTTTGATGAACATCGTGATATCGTCACTGTAGAGTAGGAAAAGGGAAGGGCCAGGCACGTTCCCTTGGATGACACCACTAATGGTTAGACCTGGGGAAGACTAATGGTCACTCAGGGTGAGTATCTGGGAACGCACATCCCGTTACAAGATTAGCCCACTCTTTATGGGTCTCTGATCCTAAAGGACTCGATTTTTAGTAGCCGTTTGTGAGATATCCGGTCGAATGACTTTTGCATTTCTAGGAATAAAATTATAATCGCGAAACTGGAGTCAGTGGGTTCTGTGATGTAATCCAGCCAGTGCAACTAACATGTTTCTGGATCTTGCGTTAATCAGGGTATGCGAAAATGTATTGTGTAGAAAAGTTTTCGGAACCATCCCACGGTTTCGAGAATCAAAAATGACAGCTACCTCGGTTAAACAAGATGGAAAGGGAAAAAGGTCTATCAACCTTTGTTTTGGGTGTAAAGGCGTGAGATCGGTTTTGTGCTTTGCTATGTTTGTATGAGCGGGAATGATTGAGGTCCAAACGTCTGGTTGGAATTTTCCTGGTATTGAGCTAATTTTGCCATGTGGATGAACCGCATGAGGGGTGAAACAAGCTAAACTGTCTCTACTAGGTTTGCCATTGATGGGAGCGGATGCGGGACCACTCCTCCGCTAAAAATGGGTTGTAAGAAATTAGTGATTTAGGAGGGGACGTGCGGGTGTTGTTACCAGGTTTTCTGCGTTTTTATTACTATTTTTATTTCTTTGTGGTTGTGGAAGACGATGATAAGTAAGTTGGTATGCTGGAGATCTTAGTAGGGAGGGATATAATGGTGGCTGAACCTGGATAAAAGAAAGTCGTCGCAGTACCGATGGACCGGGGGCCAATCAGACGAATTCGAGCGCGCACGACCGGTCCGGCCCAGCGCACAAGAGAAACAGCGTGGTATTCAACGTCTGAAAAGCGGATTGGTCATTCGTATGGCGAGCAGACGACTCACGCCGGAGTCCAGTTTGACAACGCGCACCGCTGTGTCTCCTAGCCAGCCGAGGATGAATCAGCATAATAGACCAATAACCAATCAGCTGCTAGTCAGGAGAACTGAGCGTGCGGAACGCATGCGGCCTAGCGCAATGGCAGAACAACGGTAAGACAGTTTAGTCGGCCGTACGACAAGCGGATAGATTACGCCTGTGGCCAAAGTAACCTAACGCTCAGCTGTGCAGATACGCAGTCGTGGGACCATCGACCAAATGGGCGGACGCCTAATCTGACAGCACCATGCGGTCTAACCGGAATGGAAAAAAAACGAGGTTCGACGTAACTCTGGGTGCAGCAAGCGTACATCGGTCTCAACTGAAGAACCAACACGACCCTATTGGTTGGAGATAACGTCACAGGCCAGTTAATAACGGCCAACCAATAAACGGCCACAGCGGAATACTATATTTAGTCCATGAAAACTGCGATTCTTTTTAATAATGATTTCTGATCGCCACCCAAACTTTGTCCTTGATTCCCGGGGGCCAATTCGACAAGAGGTAACCGGTAGAAAATTGTCTCTTCTTAATCGGCTCGGAGTAGCCCGTCGCGCTGCGATCGGAAGGGTAATGTTCACACTGAGCTTTGAACGCTGCCGATCTTCTAGTACTTGCATATTTTGTTCAATTACAAGTCGCCGAATTGTGCTTTTATGGTAGTTTTGTGTTTATAACATCATCTCGAGAATTCGAAGCACACCTCTGTCTTTCTATCTGGTTTTAGTAATTTTATCCTTTTTTCGACCTCAGCATCTCTCCCTGTACCCTTGCGTACCTGTTCGGTTATCGTAGCACATTTCGCGCTCATCGAGTTATCCTTTACACATATCGTATTAATTCTTCCTCTGTATTTGAGTTAATTTTTCTCCGCGAACCAAATAATCAGCCTCGTTGTATCGGAAACCTTGTTGTTGTGAATCACACGGATTGATTCCATTTGCGAAAAAAAACCGTGCCATCGTGTACCTTGGAAGCTACTCCTACTAGATTGGCCAATAGCCAGAACTCACTTTCTTCGCGCACTAAATTGGCACCCATTTCTGTGCAACCGGTTAATGGCCATCTTTCTGCTTTTTTGCGACCAAGATTGTTAAATAAAAACAGTTGATTGAGGACCCTAATCACTTCCTTGCGTAGGTTTGGAAGCTTTAGTAGTTTACCAGCCTACGTACATTCACAGTTATCTCATCAACTTCTGACCAAACCCTGCATTGGCCGTCTTGCATTTCCTATGAGGTTGCCTTACTTTCTTCATGTGGCTAAGCGAATTGGCCGAGACAGGCCACTACTGATGCCTCCTCTCTTTCTGTTCACCTATTTCTCATAATCCGACCCCGATTACCAACTTTCCACAATATTCTTGGAATTTAACTGTCTGAAATTATAACCCAAAAGTGCCCAACAAACCCACCTCGCCAATTAGTAATCCTTTTAGACACAACCATTACAATTCGCCATCTTATACCCAATATCTCTGATGTCTGAACGATTGCATTCGACTTTACTTATTATCAGGCGGACATTTTAACTAGCTGGAATTTACCTGACCTACGTACAATGCTCACCTCCCCAGTGGGTAACATTTGAAGAACAAGCGTGTTTACAACTCTGGCTTCCCGGTGGATCAACTTTTAGTTCCACTGCACTCACTTAGGTACTCCCGCGAATATCCGTTTGACTTGCGTTATCATTTCGTTCAAAACCACTACGAAGATGTCGAGAACTTCTTCACTCGGACCATTTGACCAATAAACCATCACCATACCTCTACATTCCGAACCCATGCAGTATTGCCTATCGCGGAGAAAAACATCTCGCTAGCAAACATTCTTGGGTGTGACAGTTATTATAGTTAGGAAATATCCACTGGTGTAACTCGAACAGCGAAATCCCCATCCCTTACAAGCTTATCTGGGGATTAAGCTTTTTTGTTGAGATTTTGATTGATTCTCTGAGCTGATGGCAAACGTTTTACCACTTCGCTCAGTGGCATCTTCAGTACACTGCTGCGGAGAGGAAAATCTCACGGAAAGTTGGCCATTGCACTTATCTGGAGATTTCCTCCTTTCTTACTCACAGAAATCATGCCAAGTTTATTCAGTTGCTTTTAATGCCATATGCCTTGTGACTGGGCCCTCCACCATTCGAGTTGCAACTCTCCACATTCGACAATGATTTTGATTTAACTGCACATAATTAGGAAAGCTTATTCGGACCCAACTCACTGTTCACTCGTGTATTTACAGCGTATCCGCGTTCTCGATAAAAACTTATTTATTTATCACAGATGCTTTCCAAACATTTTTCTACATTTTTCCGATTTATCTGTAACCTATGCATCCACACGTGTATGTCAAACACCATGCCATATAACGTGTATGTCATGCTTTCGAGCAAATATTATTCATTCCATTCCTTGCGTCCTAAGCGACAACAACAGCAGTTTTTGAATTTTCCCGATCAACCTTTAAGTGACCTAACGTACATGAGCGTACTTCTTTCTCTCGCCGAACTACACTTTTTTCGTATCTTCGTGACTAAATGTTTAGTTATTTTATCAGTCTCACCTTCCCTGCCCCGTTCCTCTGGCAGGGTTCAACGTTCTTACCATAAAACGGATGAGTCAACAAGC